CCTTCACATAATAGGCCCGCTGCCTATTCCTCAGACAGAGGAATTCAGTGCAGAGGGGATTGTCTCTGATGGGTGTTTGTCATTGTTTCTCTGTAGTCTCACATGTCAGAAATTCTATTTAGTGACCAGCTTTGAGGTCAAGATAACTGAAGCTGTCTGATATGGGCCACTTCAGCTTTTCTCCCCCATACTGCATCATTCCTGGAAGATTTTTAAGGATTCAGGTCATCAAAGCAGTACTGCAGAAGACCTGGAAACAGTTCTTACTGTTTCCTCCTTAAAAATTAGGACCACTTTTTTATATAGGGGACAAGGGTGGAATAGAGAAGAGCCTGTAGAAGATGGGTGGCAGGCTGAGGTCTATAGAACCTGGTTCATGACCTTGAGATAGTCACTTCATTAGAAGACAGAACTAGGTTTCCTGGGCCCCCGATGGTGCATTTGCAATGAGACTTGTGAAATGCTGGATTTACAGGTGGTGTTTGATTTGACTTTTGCACATTCTCTCTGGAGTAGAAATGGAGACTGGAAAGGTCGAGTCTGGTTTTGCTGGGCAGCAGGGTGGCCCATCAAAGCCAGCTGCACGTTCCCAAGCATAGTAAGAGTGGCAAGGGCATGTCTAGCTTACTGACCATCTGCATTGAGCTCATTCTCATTTTCTATATCTGACCTAAAGTTTCTCTCCTTGTTTCTTTTCTTCTCTTCACCTTTAAGCACAAACATAAACCATCCTTGCTACAGCCTAGAACAGTTAAGTAAACCTTTCTCACTGCCCCTAACTGTGTGTGCCATGAAGTCGCAGTGTTGTAGTGGCTCTGGGCTTCAGCGGTGTTTGCCACAGCCATCCCTGTGATAGTGCCACCCCTCTGTCCCCACAGACCGGTCATCTCCATTGCTTTTGCTTTGCCCGTGATGCTTGTTGGAGTAGATGAATATATTGTGTCTTCCTGCCTCTTACCACTGTTCTTTGAGCTATAGCCCCCACCAGTTAGTTCCCAATTGGGGATGGGCTGACCTTGATATAAAAGAATGTTGGAACAGCATCCTGCCAAAAAGCAGCTAACCTTGGCTCTCCTGCCAGTGTGTGTCCTGAGTGGCCCCAGGCACCTGGCTGGAGAGAAAATGGCAAACTTTGGCTGAAGAATGTCCTAACAAACCCCCTTCCAGAATGGCTTTAGTTTCTAGTGCCTGCTAGCATGGGAGCTTTGTCTTGAATTCCTTTTGATCTGCCCTGTTTCTCTCCAGCCGTAGGAATAAATCTAGAGGTTATTGTGCAATGACCTGTGGGCTTTTTAGAAGTCTCAAAATTTCCTTGAAATCGGTACAGCCCAGCATAATCTTCAAGTTCTTGATAAGCCTGCTGCTTTGTTCTGGTTAATAAAAGCAGTGCTTAGCTGGCCAAGGACTTACTTTTATAATACTCCTTATGATGAGAGACAGCCAGACAGAGAGACAGTGAGCCCTGAACCAAACACCTGTATTCCACCATTTTACACAGCAGCCTGGGCACCCCGTGCCTAGGAGTGCTGAACATTGTCTGCCCCTGAGTCTCACCTGGGCCAGGGGTAGTTACTCTTAGGTAAACCAGAATGCCACTGAGTCAGGGATGAAGAGACAGTCACTTTTCTGTAGCAGGACAGCTGCCAGGTTGCTCAAAGGGGTTTCTGCCTTAAACCAACATATTGTGTTGTTGCTTCCAGGGCAGCAGAAGAAGCCTTTGTAAATGACATTGATGAGTCGTCCCCAGGCACTGAGTGGGAGCGGGTGGCCCGGCTGTGTGACTTTAATCCCAAGTCCAGCAAGCAGGCCAAAGATGTCTCCCGCATGCGCTCAGTCCTCATCTCCCTCAAGCAGGCCCCCCTGGTGCACTGAAGAGCCACCTGTGGAAACACTACATCTGCAATATCTTAATCCTACTCAGTTAAGCTGTTCACAGTAATTGGATTAATTATGTTGAGTTCTTTTGGACCAAACCTTTTGTCTTTAGAGTTGATCATTGTTTGTGATTGCATGTTTCCTTCAACTGTGTTCTCCCTGGCATTCAGAGAGGAGGGGGGAGGAGGAAGAGGAAGGGAGGGAAACTCCCAATAGTAGCCTCAACCTGTGCTTTTGTGCATTATTCTGAGAATAAATTTCTGTTTCAAACAATATACATGAAGCTTCTTTATTGACCTCAAGATGTGCTACAGTTTGGAGTTAGGCTTGCACGGATGAGGAATTAGGAATTCCCTTTTATCATTTTAAGGACTGAGTAGGAACTGCCATTGGGCACTTAACTTTGCCTTAATAAAATAGCTCCAAGTTTCCTGCTGTGGAATTCTTGGAAATTTTCTTTTTTCTTGTAGTGCTGGGAATTGCACCCAGAGCACTGTACATTGAACTACATTCATAGCCCTTTTTGTACTTAGTTTGAGATAGAGTCTTGCTGAGTTGCGCAGGTTGGCCTTGAACTTGTAATCCTCCTGCTTCAACCTCCCTCCTGAGTCACTAAGATTATAAGCATGTGCCACTGCTGGCTGAAATTTTCATTTGAAAAGGGAATTCTGTAATTAAAAATTAACCCTTTATTGCTTACCTAACACACAGCTCTGAATCATCTCACCAACGTAGACATTTTCTTGTCACCATCCCTTAGTTTAGGGTCCTGAATATTCATACACTTTGGATCAGCCAGTAAACCTGAGACAGGATAGCATGAATGTGTGGCTAGCACCATTTCTTAATTCCCGTAGCATATGGTGGGGCCTGTGCTATCCTAAGGCATTTGATTCATAGTTCTCGTGTAAAATTCTTCATCTAGACCTGGGCTGTCCAGTACTGTACTCACGGGGCACATGTAGCTATTTAGTTAAAAATATATTTTTAGCCCTAGTCACATTTCATATGCTCATTAACACCAAGTGTAGGTAGGTGGCATCCAAATTAGACAGTGTAGGTTATGGAACATTTCCATTATCTCAGAAAGCTCTCTAGAACCTTGCTCATCTTCACAACAGGTGCTTCTAGGAGACTGTGCTGAACACATTCATCATCTACCTGCAGAACCTGCTGTAATATGGTGCCTTTTAGTTGATATTCTAAGCAATTAGTAAAGCCATCTTTTAGTAACTTTTTTCAAGATATTTAATTGGTACATTATAATTATATTAATGGGATTCATTGTTATATATTCTCACAGTAGAACAATATAATTTGGTCAATTTCATTCCTTAGTACCTCCCTCCCTTCTATTTTCATAAGACACCCCTATCTTTTTTTTAAAAAAAAATAACTTTTCCATATAGTCATCTGTTTTTTGTTTTTTGGTTTTTTTTTTTTAGTTGTAGATGGACACAATACCTTTATTTTATTTATTTTTATGTGGTGCTGAGGATCGAACCCAGGGTCTTGGATGTGCTAGGTGAGCACTCTACTCCTGAGCCACAACCCCAGTCCCATCTGTTATTTCTAGATTAGAGATAGAGGCAAACTCCTGTAACACCATACCCAAGAAGGGGCTTAGGTTTTGCCATTTTCAAGAAACTCCATCAACTCGCCAGTGCATAATTACGTGTGGATGGGAGAGGAACATTCATTACTTGCCCTTCTTGCTCCTCCTTAGGTAGGCTTTCCTTGGTCTGGTGCCCATTTCTGGTCCTTTTCTTCATTCCTCTCCTTGAGCCACCTCTGATCGCACTCAAGCAATCCCTGATGCTGACAAACCATTTGTTACTACTAGATCTTTGTAATGCCATTCAAGATGTCAAGAGTCCAATTTAAGCAGCAGTTCAAAGGCCTCTCTTCCACAGTGCTTTCACATATTCCCTCCCCTGAACTGCTTTGGCCCTCTACCTAGTGCAGCTTAGTTTTTTTGATATTGTTTTTGAGCCATCATATGGCCCAGTCCTACCTACCACACAGGGAATATGGCAACTTTAAGATGTAAAAAACTGGGCATGGTGGTGCACACCTGTCATTCCAGTGACTCAGGAGGTTAAGGTAGGAGGATCTCAAGTTTGAGGCTAGCCTCAGCAACTTAGTGAGACCCTGTCTCAAAAAGGGCTGGGGATGTAGCTCAGTGGTAAAGCACTCCTGCATTCAATCTCCAGTACCCAAAATACAATAAAATAAAAAGTAAACAAAATCTGTGCCATTGTACAGATCAAGAGGTAATTGGATAATGACAAAAGTGATGCTTTATGACTTCCCAGGCTATCGTAAAAGGTAATGCAGCTTATGGCTGATTTGGAACACACTAACTGGGAGCCCTCAGCCACTATAAAAAAATCTTTACCACTGTGAAGCCCAAAGTATGCCTACAAAGACCACTTGAGAGACCCCATAACTGTTTGCAAAGAGAAATGCCTGGCCAGTTTCTAGATATCCAGCAGCCCAGCCCACTATTCTAGCTGCAGCCCGTCTTAACTACAGGTGCAGGCCACTCAGCCAGACCTACCTAGCAAAGCCTTTCGCAAGTTCCCAACCCACAGAACCATGAGAGAAAACAGTTACTGTTGGTTCAGATCTTTTAAATGTTGCACTGAGATCGTGAGTTGTTTCTAATGCCTGTGTAGCTGGCATGGGGAGATTCAAGTGGGTGTTCAACGTTTACTTGCCAACCTCTTTATCAGGGCAACTTTGCTTTTTAATTTTTTCCTAGTACTGAGGATTGAACCCCGTGCACTTTTAACATTGAGCTTACTCCCAGTTCTTTTTATTATGAGACAGGGTCTCACTAAATTGCCTAGGCTGACCTCAAACTTGTGATCCTCCTACCTCAGTCTCCCAACTCACTGTGATTACAGGCATGCACCACTGTGCCCGTGTGCAACTTTGCTTTTTTATGTCAACTTTTAAATGTTATATAATAATGCTTTCTATTAATAGGCTTTTTGTTGTTGTTCAGAAAACAATATTAGTTGCTTTAAGTTATATAAGCTTAAAAAAAAAGCAACAGTATAAGTCTCTTCTAGGAAGGAAATGCTTTTGGCTAGTGAGTTAAGAACAAAACAACACAATCGTTAAGATTTCAACAAAGAAATGTATTTCTTCCTTAGAATTTCACTCAGAACAGTAACATAAAAATATATACATTAAAATAAATTAAGATGTGATTATTTAAACATGTAATAATTTATGTCAGAATATATTAGTCTTTCCATGAATTTAATAAAGACTTAAAAGATTTGGTTTTTGATTCAGTACCATCCTTTCAAATATTTGGCATGAAACTTTGTAGCAGTGCAGTTGTTTGGTGTTCACTGATCATGGTTTAACCAAGAAACACTGATGTCCCCTTTGCGGCACACCATCTCACCCAGACATTGATGCGCCCGAGCCACCCTGGAATGTCTGAACAGTAACCAGGCCCTGGAGATTATTTAAGGGCTGGTATAGAGTTCTAGGAATCAGCCAAGCTATCTTTTTCACATCAACCCACCAGGAAGGAAGTTTTTCAAATGTGATATTGACTCCTTGGTTTTGTTTGTATTTTGTTACTGAAGCAATACATTGTAGAAACTTTCAGGCTTTTCTAAAATAAAAAACAATCTGAAAAATATATGCATGTTTTTTTAGATTATCTACAAGTACTCATAAAATCCTGTCACTAGACCAAATACTGTACTGGCGAGATTTTCAGAGCAGAGAGGAATATTTTATTAAATTCACTGAGAGGGTCAAGAACGAATCGAGCCAGGCTCAGTGGTGCATGCCTCTAATCCCACCAACTCGGGAGGCTAAGGCCAGAGGATCACAAGTTTGAGGCCAATCTCAGCAACCTAGTTAAGATCTGTTCTCAAAAATAAAAAGGCTGGGGATATAGCTCAGTGGTAAAGGAAAAAAAAACAATAAACAGTCATTTGCAAATCAGGTATTCTTATTAAAGCTTTTGATAACCACTGGGGTTGTAGCTCAGTGGTAGAGCACTTGCCTAGCATGTGGGAGACACTGGGTTCGATCCTCAGGACCACATAAAAATAAAATAAAGGTATTATGTCCATCTACAACTAAAAACAAAAAAATATATCAGCATTTTGAAATGAGAAGTTGTGCAACTTAGCAAAAAAAGACACCAGGACCTGGGATCAAACCTTATCAAGCTTATATCTAAGATTCACTAACTGGGGGGCTGGGGATATATAGCTCAGTTGGTAGAGTGTTTGCCATGCACGTACAAGGCCCTCGGTTCAATCTCCAGCACCACCAAAAAAAAAAAAAAAAAAGATTCACTAACTCCATGGTTTTAGATAATATCACTTAAAAACACTAAGTTTTGGGTTCTACAGAATGGGAATTCAAATACCCACTTCACAGGTTGTAAGGATTTAGAATAATACATATGAAGCACCTAGTTCAGAACTTGATACACAATAGGAACTTAATAAGTGTGGTGGCTGGAAGTATTTCTTACAGGTTGATATTTTTTCATTCATTTACATTTTGTACTTTTGTAATTTTCCACAGGTTCTTAGTCAAAATCTGGGTTCATGGCTCTGGGCTGTAGGAGCTGCACCTATAAACACTGCCTTCATAGACACTTGGGGGTCATATGCAAAACCGTGTGAAAAGCTACCAAAAGAATTATTTGCTGTCAGGAGCAAAGATCCTTTTGGGGATAATCTCCTTTCAGAGGCTCTTAAGTCCTAGTGGCTTCTTAGTGGTCTCTAAGAAGATGAAGACAAGGTCACTAAAGCCAGACCTCTGGTCTTTTGTTTCTTTGTTTTTGCAGTGCTGGGAATCAAACTCAGGGCCTTACACATTGCTAGGCAAGAGCACTACTGAGTACTACCACTGAGCTACACCCTCAGCCCAGATCCCTGGTCTAAATCAAGCTCCTATAAATGCTGCTAGTATAACAACATCTTTCAGCAAAAACATTTGGAGGTGATGTCCAATGTCTATGGGGTTTTTTGGTTTTTTTTTTTTCTGTAGTGGGAATTGTACCCAGGGCCTGGCACATACTAGAAAAGTGCTCTACCACTTAAAAAAAAAAAACTTTGAGACAGGCAAGAATCTCTTGCCCAAGGCTGGCTTCAAACCTGCAAGCCTCTTCCCTCAGCCTCCTGAGGGCTGGGATTACAGGTGTGTACCACCTCGCCCACCATGTCCAGTGTCTTTATTGTGGTGATCGTTTCATAAGTATATACATAAGACAAAGCTTATCAAATTGTACACTTTAAAAAATACTTCAACAAAGCTATATTTAAAAAGTTCAGGTAAGCTTTTCCCGGTAAGACTCTTCTGTTCCCTGACTGGATCCCTTTCTATTCTCCAAGTCTGGGGTTAGATAAAGAGTTATTAACCCACACATATGAAGCTCTCATCCAAAGTAGGTCTGCAAGGTCTGGGTGGTACATTAGTAAGCAGAGTTCTAAGGCTTCCTGGTCTATTATTGTAGCCCCTTTTAGCACAAGAGGTTGTGATTGGAACTTACAGGCTTCTCCTAAAATGACCCCTAGAAGGAAAACATCAGAAAGAGCAGCATCTACAAAAATGGGCACAAAAAGGTAAATTTAAAAGAGACGAAAAGCAAAAGCACTCTCTGCCAGTGTCAGCTGCAATAAAATACTAAATTTGCTGTGTAAGAAATGTTCATCTAAAAGAGAAGAACTTGATTCCACTAAGAAGTTCTTGAGTCTCGGCCCATGTCCACTCCTGGGAATCTAGTGGATCCTTCGAGTTGTATAGTCCAGAACCATGCTGGCAGCACCGAGCAGGGCAGGGTCAACTAAATCTGAAACCACCACATCCACATCCTGCACCGAGGACAAGGCTTGCTGGCGAATGACGTCCTTGACGATGTGGATATAGTGACTGGCCAGTACTCCAGAGAGGATCACGAGGGAAGGATTCATGGTGTGGAGGATGTTCACAACCCCAAGACCAAGAGCTGTTCCAGCTACAGGAAAACAAAAATGAGTTTTGGGGTACTAAACTAAAAACACCAAGGAAGAAGGTAGGAAAGAGCCAGTGGCCAGTAATGGTAAAGTATATTCATTCTAAGTAATGGGGAGCAATATTTTAATAGCTGTTCATGAATTTTTCTTTTTTTAAGAGACAAGAGATTTGTTATGTGGCCCAGGCCGGCTCTGAACTCCAGGGCTCAACTGATCCTCCTGCCTCAGCCACCCAAGTAGCTGGAAATATAGGTGTGTGCCATGATTTATTCTTTTTGTTGTTGTTGTTGAGACAGAGTCTAAGTTGCTGAGGCTGGCCTTGAATTTGCAGTCCTTCTGCCTTAATCTCCCGAGTTGCTAGCTTCAAAGGCATGTGCCACTGTACCCTGCTCATGATTTTTTTTTTTTTTTTAATGTGGTGCTGGGGATTGAACCCAGGGCCTTGTGCATGCAAGGCAAGCACTCTACCAACTGGGCTATATCCCTACTCCCCATGATTTATTTATTTATTTATTTTTAATATATTCCTTTTGGTATGGGGGATTAAACTCAGGGGCACTCAACCTCTGAGCCCCATCCCAGCCCTATTTTGTATTTTATTTAGAGACAGGTTCTCACTGAGTTGCTTAGTGCCTCATTGTTGCTAAGGCTGGCTTTGAACTCACGATCCTCCTGCCTCAGCCTCCGGAGCTGCTGGGATTACAGGTGTGTGCCACTGCCCCCAGCCCTGTGACTTATTCTTAATATGAAAACTATCATGTGATGTCTTTTTTTTTTTAATATTTTTTAGTTGTCAATGGACCTTTATTTATTTATTTATTTATATGTGGTGCTGAGAATCAAACCCAGTGCCTCACACATGCTAGGCAAGCACTCTGCTACTGAGTCACAACCCCAGCCCAAATCATGTGATTTCTTGAAGTGAAAAATGAGTCTCCAAAAGAAGTATAAAATGGTATATACTGTAGAATATAATCTCAACTATATAAAAAATGAACAGAAAAGGAATAGAAAGGCTCAAAAGAAATACTAATAATTGGTATCTCTGAATGGTAAAATTTTAAAGTAATACTTTTTCTTACTGCTCTTTGATATTTCTCTATCCTATAGTATTATCAAAATTGTAAAACCAAACACCTATTTATAAAAGTACTGCTGCTGGCAAATGCCTTTAATACATTTCTTTTTTTCCTCCTCAGAAAATAGGAAAAGTACCTCTGAACAGAATGCAGAATACTGGTTCCCTGAGGGAAACTGTGTTCTCTGCCAGAGCCTTGGTGTCTGAGAATACTCCCTGTGGCATGGCTGCCTGGAGCCATTGGCTCACCTGTTCTTAAGATGCTCTGGGCCTTCGCATTGCCAAGTTTCGCAGCTTGGATGAGGTGGAGTGCACCCACGGCTTCATCTTTTGGCACTGACATCCCTTCCACCAAGAGCAGGTCCTCTGAGCCGAGTGAAGAGAGTGAGGAGAAGCAGTTGTTAGTGAGCTGTGGGCAGCCCTGGGGAGAGGCCAAGCTTATGTGCTTATGGGCAGCAAGCCCCGAGTGAGGTGCTTTCTGTTTATAGTCGCAGGGCTGAAGATGAAGCTCAGTAGTAGAGCACTTGCCCAGTATGCACAAGGCCCTGAGTTCAATTCCCAGCCCCGTGGACACATTATGCAAAACTTTATTATTCATAAACATCCATATATATTGCCCCCCCCAAAGCCTTTGCTGCCCTCTTGATAACTGGCTATACATAATCCAAAACTTCTATAGCTGGGAAAAATCTCAAATGTGATGACAGTCTTCTAGCCCTCTGGCTCCCTTGCTTTTCACTTCTAAATACTGGAGTCTTTAAAGTATTCTGTCCCCACAAATGATCAGGCTCCTTAATTCAGTTCCATCCTCATCTACCCCAGACGCAGTGCCACACTACTTCAGTGCCCAATGTTCTAGGGTAGCATGGCACAGCAACTGCAGAGCAGTCAGGCCTGGGTGCGGTTCCAGCTCTGCCACTACTAACTGCATAGACCTCCCCATGTCACTTCATCACTATATATTCCTCCCTTCTAGAATACTGGGGCAGTAGTACCTAGGGTCATTTCAGAGATCAAATGAGATAATGGATTATTAAGTACTTAACAATGCTGGCTAGAGTAAATGCTAAATAAACAGTAGAGATTTCTATTACTTGTAGTCTTTATCTTTCTGCCAGTCACCAATCCAGATCAATCTCCAGCCCAATCTATTATTCTAGGCTCTGAAGGAAGAAAATCCCCAATCATGCAGACGACTACCTAGATACCAACGGATTTCTCCTATCTTTCCTGAGCCTCGAAGTTACTAGTTCTCACTTTCTCATTTTTCTTCTATACCTTCACCAATACATTTCCACACTACTTACTTCTCTGATAAAAGATGCCACCAGGCTGGATTCCTGTACTTGTCTGCCCCCACCTACAAATCAATCAGTGCTTGCACATTTTTGTTCTTGCCATCTACCTGGCTTTGCAACTCATTTCTTCCCACCTGTTCAGAGACTCTATGGCTGGTACTCCACACCTGTTCTCCTACATTCCAAACCTTTACTTCCATTCCCATGGTTTCTGTCCCACCAGTACATGCTTACAGATTGGTTCTGAAGCAAAAAAAGATACCAACCATCATGTAGCTTTTTGGCTTCCCTCATTTTATGTATAAAGTATAGAAATACATGTGGAACATAAAAAATACATCTGTGGTAGGGAAGTTTCACCCTCACCAGGGGAAAAAAATCATTTAAACAGGCTCTCTAGGGAGAAAATGAAACCCAACATTCAAACATGAACACAGTTGTAAGGGCATCAAATGATGTCCTTGTGGCCATAGCCAATGAACTTTATCAAAATTCTCATAAGTAGCACTTAACATTACTGACTACACCCTCTGAAACACTCGTTTTTTTGGTTGGTTCTATGAAGTTTTCCCTTTTCTGGCTCCCCCCACCCCCATGCCTCTCTCCCTGCCCCTCCAATGCTGATGCTGCTCGGCATTCCATCCTTGACTCTGGCTTGCCTCATTCCCTGGTCTCATTCATAGGCTTAACTACCACCTCCATATTGACGATTTCCAGTCCCTCTTTCTAGCTTTGTCCTGAGTGCCTCGTAAGCATTTCTACCTGGATGTCCTCCAGGTACCCAACCATCATCTTGTCCATTTTCAGAATATAGTATTCAGCCTTAATTGGATCCAATTGTAGGCATTTTTAACTACAGTCCTTCCCTTTGCTTGCCCCAATTTTAAAAATAGCTAATCCTATAGATCATAACCTCCCTCCTCCAATAGGGGCAAGAGGGATATTAGGGATAAAAGCAGGTGGACTGGCTGTCCTGGTGTGCCTGCTCTCCTGATTCCCTCTGAGGGCTCACCCTTCTGCAGAATAATTTTTTGCCTTGCTGACCCACTTCTGAACACGTTTGACTTCGGTATTCTAATATGCCTATACCAAGTCAACATTCCCACCCCTGAGCTGTCCAACCAGAAAACTGAAAGTCACTCCAGAACTGTCCCACCTAAAGCCATCCTCTGTTCAACTGCTAAGTTAGGAGTTTAGTGAAGAATCTAAAATTCAGATCTGTCTGCGTCTTTCCTATACTATTTGTTAACGGCTTTTCTCCTGCTACACTACGCCAAGTCTTGCCCTTTATGCACCCACGCCACTGTTTTCATGCCTAGAAGAGCTCCCCTGACCATCCACACTTGCTTGATTAACTCTTTGGTTCTGATGTTCAACTCCCAGGAAGGCACCTGGCACTCCCTCCCTGTGCAGAGAGTTAAGTGGTACTTGCAGTGTCCTGCTTACTTGCATTTGTGTTCCTTGGCCTTTATGCTCAGTGGCTTTAGCACAATATGTAATAATGACATTAATTGAATCTGTCCATCCTGACTTGCATAACATGTCTAGAAACAGCTGTAATTCAAAGAGATCTCTCAGTTCAAAAACTGAAAGATGTTCATTTTTTGCTTAATTAAAATGTACCCGCCCTGTGCTAATGGCTGAAACAAAACTAAAAGAAATCATCCCTTATGTCTTAGACCTCTAGGCCCCTGTCCACCTCTACCCCCAGAGAGGGAGAGTGTTAATTTGGGTCAGAGCCAAGCATCAGTGGAACATCAGGAGGGAGCCCTGCTCTTCCTCTAGGAAGTGAAAAGGTTAAAAGTCCTGGCTTCAGTGTTCGGCTCTTTGGATACTTGTCTACTATTTGGTTACTTAATCCCTAAGGGGAAAGATACCAACCATCATGTAGCTTTTTGGCTTCCCGCTGCAAGGCCATTCCGGAAGCATATGCTTCAATGCATCCATGGCTTCCGCAAGAACAGTCGGGCCCATCCAGAGACACAACAAGGTGGCCAAGTTCTGCAGCACAGAAGGAGCTTCCATGGATCAATTCATGCTGATGGATGATCCCACCACCAATTCCTGCATTAAGAGACAAAAATCTATGATGTGGCAATGCCTCAATGGTTTAGCAAAGTTTTCCAATGCTTGCTTTTTTAAACAGTTGAAATGTAGTATTGCACCAAAACTTTATTTGGTAGCATTTTGAAAGGAAATATTTTTAGCAGATCTTTGGATACCTGTGTCACATCTGCTTGGTTCACTCCAGTTTCAAACAGCTATGGCAGACCGTTCAGGGCACCTGGCTCACCTAGTATTGATGGCTTACCCCCTTCAAGCACACGCTGCCTATCTCTGCACACCATGGCCACCTCCCACACTACAGTAAGAGCCCACTCAGCCATGAAGGCACAGTGCCAAGAGGCAGCCCTCACCAGGTGAGATGGGAGCCAGCATTCACAAGTAGACAATTCTGCACTCTGCTCTATAGGCTTTTTCAGGTGTGGGAGATTTCAACCCCCACTGCCCTTAAGGCCACTTTGATAATGCTTCCTTTAATGGCTTTTCTCCTACTGTGTTTCACTTTTCCCACTCCCTCCTGCTTCTCAGGTTCATCTCCTAAAGAAAATACCTATACCCAAATGGTTGTTATCAGAATCTGCTTCTCCCCTAACCCCAGTACGGGGATGGAACCTAGGGTGTTCTGCTACTCAAATACATCCCAAGTCCTTATTATTTTTTTTTTCAAAGAAAGAGGAGAGAGAGAGAGAGGGAATTTTTTTTAATATTTATTTTTCAGTTCTCGGCAGACACAACATCTTTGTTGGTATGTGGTGCTGAGGATCGAACCTGGCCGCACGCATGCCAGGAGAGCGCGCTACCGCTTGAGCCACATCCCCAGCCCTCCTTATTATTTTTTGAGATAGGGCTTTACTAAGTTGCTGAGGCTGGCCTCAAACTTGTGATCCTCCTTCCTTAGCCTCCTGAGTACTTGGGATTACAGGTATGTGCCACCACTATACCCAACTCATGCTTTTGCTCTGAGGAAAGCCAAGATAAAACAATCCAAAATAGGGCTGGGGACATAGCTCAGTTGGACATAGCTCAGCCTTGCATGCACAAGGACCTGAGTGCATACAAGGATCCTCAGAAAAAAGAAAAAAATCAAAAAAACGTAGGCTGGGGTTGTGAGTCAGAGGTAGAGTGCCCGTCTAGCATGTGTGAGGCACTGGACTCGATCCTCAGCACCACATAAAGTAAAATAAGACATTGTGTCCACCTATAAATAGAAAAATAAATATTAAAAAAATTCCAAAATATATCACACATCACCTGCTTCTCTGAAGCAGAGAATATGAATATGATTTTGTCTCTCTTAACCTTTATTTTATTTGTTTTTATTTATTTTTTTTTATGTGGTGGCGGGGATCAAACCCAGTGCCTCACGCATGTTAGGCAAGCACTCAACCACTGAGCCACAACCCTGGCCCCTGGTTTTGTCTCTTCTTGATGATGCTATAACTAAAAATTCAATTCAAATGTTATGAATATAAACAATCCTCTTTCGAATGGAATTTAGGAATTACTAAGGAATATGGGGATCTTAGCTTAGAAAGCTCTGCTTTTAATTGCTGTCCTTCCATCTGTCACCACCCCTCTGATTTACAGCTTGTTAACTACTCTGAACTAGGAAATGGTATCCAAGTTAGCTAAAACCACATCCAAGAAAAGGGAGGAACTATATGAGCTAAAGTGCATGACCTCAAAGGGAGAGGTAATATAGTGCAGAGTTTAAGCACACACAAGTGTTAAGATTAGGCATATTCTAACCTAACTACTTCATTAGATGAATCTACTTTCCTCATTTAAAAAAATAAAATTGTTCTCCTTAAATATATACAATAAAAATAAAATTAAAAATAAAACAGGAAAACCAAATTTGGACATCAATGAAAATGACAAAAGTAGGGAACTTCAAAAATCCATCCTGCCACTTAAGCAATGAATAAGGGGGCAAGGCTGTCAGAATCAACTTGTTTTACAACTCCTGAAACTTAACCAAAGATTTACAGCATGGAAAGGAAGAAGGAAAACAGTTTATCTCAGTAAGTCTGATTTTTAATTTAACTTAACCTGGACCCACCCACTCCCTAGCTTGGAAGTGACCTTGAACAACAGCCCCATTGCCAGTTCTGGCATATAGATACCAGTACCTGAGGAAGCAGAATCAACTGGTTCTCAAAAAATTGTGGTTGTTTTGACTTAGCTGGTAGTTCCCTGGAAGACCAGTTCCAAGAGCTTCCTTATCTCTCACCTAACTGGGAACTGTTCAATGCTGAGGGGAGTTATACACAGGTGTTTGTAGAAGGCATTTAAAGATAAAATGTATTAGTCTCTAGTGCCTAGAACAAAGCGGTCGAGACATGTAATAGACTAAAAAACCAGGAGGAAAAGCTGAAGAATGAGAAGTTTAGGGGAATAAGAACTCTGACTATGTATGACAAGTTCCTAGAAATTTAGAAGGCCATAGGCAAGCCTAGCGCTGGGCACATGCTTAGAAAACACCTGGGAAAGCCTTAAGCTCTCACCTATGGTTCACCTTCAGGACATACTCAAGCTGGAAGCAAAGACTAAGGCAGAGTTGTAACTGCTTAGCAGAGGTTGAAGACTAGTTCCAATACACATTCTAGCTCCTTCCCTTCCTCTCTTACCTGTGCCTGTGATAAGTGTAACAAAGTTTTCCAGTCCCTTTCCTTGGCCAAATTTCCTTTCTGCCATGGCAGCGCAATTGCCATCATTGTCTACCCACACGGGGAGATGCAAAGTGTCAGAGAGGGGGGTCCTGAGATCCACAGAGTTCCATTCTTGTATCAGTTTGGTTGAATGCAGCACAATTCCTTCCTGAGGATTTACACGGCCACCTGTGGAAATGCCTAAGCTCCACCACAAACACAAGGAAAATAATTCTGATTAGCAATCTTAGGAAGGCATGCCAACTTTCTCAGCTCAGAACACAAATTAGAGCTGGTGATGTAGCTTATTGGTACAGCTACTTGCCTAGCATGTATAAGCATTATTTAAGGAAAAGTTTTCATCAGCAGTATATTATTGCACTAAGAAACAAGGTGATATAAATTCAACTTTACTTTATATAGAAGTGACTAAACAGTATAACACAAGTGATGAGAAGCTCAGTAGTGTCAAGGAAATAAAAATTATAAAAGCAGCATTACAAAAAAAATTAACATACACACAATTAATTCACCCAAGATCTCAATACAAACATTGCCAAGGTCTACAAGGAAATATTAGACAGTTTTATAAATATTAGACAGTAAATCTATAGCTCCCCACAGATTTACAGAACCATCAGTGCTTCTCCCATAATACTTGTCAGCATCCCAGGAAGTCACCATGCTTTGGGTATACAGATAGGACCAGAGCCATCTGTACACAGGCAGACCATGACATGATATTCAGAACTCAGTAGACTGTACATTAAGATGAATATTTCTTGGATTTGTAATTTACCATCTTACCTACTCCCAAAATTCTGCAATTCAGTTTTACAGCTTCTGCTGCAGCTTCTACACACATCTGTAGGATTAAATTAATTCTCTCTTCATAGGTTTTGGGATTGAACTGAGTATACTTCTTAACTATTTCACCCTACAAAAGAAAAAACAATAAGATCTATCTCACTTAGCTAAGAAGCCTGTCACACAGTGCTATTCCACAGGCTTGGATGACTTAGATGCAAATTTAGATGACTGGATTCCAGCCATGGAATAAGCCCAAGTATTTTCTTGGGAATCCATCTTGATACAAAGTTGCTGAAGCAACAACTCCACAGCCAATGAAATGGACCCCTTTTTAAGCTTAAGGTGAACATTGGCTAACCTGAATCTCATTCACTAAAAGGTCATATTTTACACTTTTTGATTGACACAATTTTTTTGTTTAAATTCTAGGGCAACTAAATAGTTATCCTACTTGAATTTTAATCATCCCTTGCAATTGAAACCAATTTATCCTATTTACTCAGGATAAATTTCCATGCTGAGCACATTGTTTAAATTACTGTGCTTTATGATGTTTTAAGACCAAACAGGGATAATCCCTCCTATTTTTTGTTCCTATTTTTATATTTTTTCTTAATTCATCTCACTTGTATATTTTTATTATTTTCTTTTGGTACTGGCAATGAACCTAGGGCCTCCAGCATGCTAAGTAATTGGTAAGGAAAAGTTTTCATCAGCAGTATATTATTGCACTAAGAAACAAGGTGATGTAAACTCAACTTTACTTTATATAGAAGTGACTAAACAGAGTATAACACAAGTGATGAGAAGCTCAATAGTGTCAAGGTAATACAAATTATAAAAGCAGGATGTGGGTTGGTCTATGTGTAATCCACCTGGATTAATTAATTGCTGCTTTTGGAAGTTAGGTTCCTGCTTCCTATATATGGAAGGCAGACAGAAACCCTATCTTCAAGTGTTAGCAGGAACAAACAGGAATTTCTACACAGTTTTTAGTTCACCCAGATGGGCACTTTAATGGGTAGTGGGGTCATGCCCAAAGAAGAGATCCTTGAGCTCTTAGAAACGATATTAGTGTTTTGTCCAAGTCTTCATCACAGCCCTTTTTATTTTGAGACAGGGACTCTAAATCACTCAGGCTGGCCTTGAACTTATGATCCTTCTGCCTCAGCCTCCAGAGTAGCTAGGATTACAGGCATGTGCTGCCACACTAGCTCACTTATGTATTAATTTAAGAATAATGCTAAACTTAAAAAAAACTGATTTATGATAATTTTATTTAACTTCAAAATCCCATTGGAATATTGACTAGAATTATATTAAATTTATAATCCAATTTGGGGACTATTGACATTTTTGAAATATTCAGTACTTTCACCAAGGACACTTTTTTAGGCCTTTATATTTTATAGTAAAGTTTTATAATTTTCTTTATGTACATCACATAGTTTTCTGGTTTTGATTATTCTTCAGGAGTAGTTGTTTTGAATAGAGTCTCTTTTTCTCTTTCAATTCTTTTGTTATTAAGGGATTTTTACATATCAATATAAGGGTTAAAACTATTACTAATAACAGTCATTAAAAATCAATCTGGGGTATGGGAATGGGAAAGACAGTAGAATGAATCAAACATAACTTTCCTGTGTTCATATAAGAATACACAACCAGTGTAACTCCACATCATGTACAACCATAAGAATGGGAAATTATATTTCATGTATATATGACACGTCAAAATACATTCTACTGTCATTTATAACTAAAAAGTACAAATTTTTTTAAAAAAGTTTTTTAAAGCAATCTAGAGGAGTGTTTCCCAACCTCACTGTATATCAGAATCTACTCTTAACAAATACTGATATGTCCACCCATCCCCAGAAATTCCAATGTTATTAGTCTGGGGTGGGAGCCAGGCATCTGTGTTTTCTTAAAGCTTCCAAGTAATCTAAATATGCAGGGGAGTCAACAAACACCACCTAAAGGAAAATTCAAATCTTTGTCTACAATTTCACCTAGGTAGAAAATTATTGATACTTACATATTTTTCATAATATCCAACCATGTTACTTGATTATCTTATTAACCCTATAAGTTACTGATTTCTTCAAATTATCTAAATAATATTTTTGTTTTATTCTGTCCGCAATCTCCATTTTTGCTATTCCTTATTTTTTCCCTTTGTAATTTTTAGAATTATATTAAAATAATGTTGCAAAAGATTTTTTTTCTTGATTTCAACAGGAATGCCTCTAGAATTTCACAAAGAATACTGGCCATGGATAAGAAATAAATCCTCTTCAGATTAAGAAAATATTGTTCTATTAACTTTTTTTCTTAAGTGTTTATTAGACTGCGGTGTAGCTCCATGATAGAGCACTTGCCTAATGTGCACGTGCGAAGTCCAGGGTTTGATCCCTGGCGCTAAAAAAAAAAAAAAAAAAAGCACAGGGGAGGCCTTTTAGTTTCTCTTAGGAAAAGTATGTTTTGTTTTGCTTTTCTGTATTTTTGATTAATGATATTAACAAGCTTCCTGTATTTTTGTTTTTAAAATCTTTGCTATTTCTTGTGCACTTCTAAAACTTTATAATGTCAAACAAAGGTTTTTCCTCATTAAGTCATTCAGAGATCATGAAGGTACTCTCAGCCTGTCAATGCTGTGTTGATGTCTAGTTAATAAAGATATGCTCTCTTCAATAAAGAATATACTTATAAAAATGCAAAGTGGAGAACTCATCTATCTGATAATATCTGAGAGAAGAAGCAACTTCTTTCACCCCATGCAGATGCACGTCCTCTTGGCTGGGTGGAGATGGTGATCAGCATACTTCACACTCTATTCCACTGTGACTACTCCAATACTTTCAGGTCTCCTGGGTGGCAAAAGCCCTCTCTGATGCCTAAAAGTGTCTTTTCTCCCCATTGTTCATTCAAGTCTGCTACCTTGAATTCCCTGAAAATTTACTTCTTTGAAATGTTAACAGTTGATAAACAAGACAAACATTGTAATAGATTCAAAATCAATACTATAGGCAAATGATTACACACTCTTGTATGTTTCTAGTCCTGTCTTCCAACTATACATTTTAAAACTCAATTACTCAAATGGGATGCAAAATTAAGAGCTGAGCAGTGAGTATACCTTCATGCTGACTATTGCAACTCGGAGGTTCGTTCCACCAAGATCAACAGCCAAGGCACTTAGAGTTTCAAGAATATGGTCGATATCTTGAGAGATATTCTCCTTCACAGGAGGAAAGCAGAATTTCTTTTGCAATGGCTCTTGAAGGTCAATAGATTTGAGAAACTTCAAAATCCTTGGAACAGCATTTCCATCTCCATATATCTTTGAACTACAATATCCAAAACAATTAAATTAACTGTATACATTAAGTGATGTTGAGGGTGTGGTTTAATGAAATCTGAAGGTTCAGGTAAAAATAGTTTATATTGCTCCTTTTTAAAATAACATCCTGGATGGTATATGTACATAATGGAATATTTACTCAGCCATAAAGAAGAATGAAATTATGGCATTTTCCAGTAAATAGAGGAACTGGAAGCTACCATGCTAGGTAAAATAAGGCAATCCCCCAAAAAACAAAGGCCCAATGTTCTCTCTGATATGCAGATTGGACAGCAGGGTATGCGGGGGAGGGAGGGGAGATGGGAATGGGAAAGACAGTAGAATAATCAGACATAACTTTCCTATGTTCATATATGAATACACGACATGAAACTTATCATGTACAACCACAAAGAATGGGAAGTTATACTACATGTATATATAATATGTCAAAATACATTCTACTGTCATGTGTAACTAAAAAGAAAAAAAATTAAAAATAAAATAACATGTCTGGTAGTGTACCTCAAAGGAATAGTGTTTGCCTAGAATTCATGAGGCCCTGGGTTTGATCCTCCTCATTGCAAAAAATAATTTATAAATACATAAACCAAAATAAATTAACATTTGTGCAATGTGTGTTGCACAATTTCAAAGCATCATGTACAAGACATATGATGATTCACGATATTATCTGTCAATTAAAAAACTGGAAATCATAATTACACATAACTAAATAAAATAAAATGACATCTGGATCTCTGCAGCAATAGAATAACTAAGTGTCTGCATTTTTGTCTTGCTTTTTTAGAAGTTTTATCTTTACCTTTCTGAGAAAATTCATCAATTTGAAGTAGAAAGGACAGCCAAAATTAATCAAAATTCTGAACTAGAATTTTTTTAATAGACACAATATCTTTATTTATTTACTTATTTATTTATGTGGTGCTGAGGTTCGAACCCAGTGCCTCCTGAATGTAAAGCAAGCACTCAATCACTGAGCCACAACCCCCAGCCCTAGAATTTTTTTAAAATATTTTTTTAGTTATTGGTGGATTTTTATTTTATTTATTTATATGCAGTGCTGAGAATCAAATCCAGTACCTCACACATGCTAGACAACTGCCCTACCACTGAACCACAACCCCTGCCCCTGACTAGAATATTTTTTAAGAAAATTAGTTACACTATGTAATACTTCTAGAAAGTCAAATTAGGTTAAAATAGTATTTTCTAGCCAAAGTACTGTATAATTAACTGATACAAGTTTAAAAAATAAATTCTACATTAGAACCCTTGGGACAATAATAAGGGGTAAGATATCTGCCATTCCCATCTCACCAGCAGCTAGGGAGCCCTGGGCATGAGAAGAAAAGTTGTTAAGATGGGGACTAAACACTGGTCCACTGCAACTTTAAAGTGGTGCCTGAACTATTTCCCCTTTTAAAATACTTTAAAAAAGAGGTTATATACTCACCAAGGGTATTGTTTACCAAACTGAAGGTGCAGTGCTTGCAATATTTTGTCTTGAGTGTCAGCATCCCGGACATGAAGGACATTCTCCCCTAGGTAAATCATGTCACATTTTAATGATTTGGACATGAGACTCTCTAAAGAATAAAGAAGTTGGCAGTATAATGAATTCATAATTTAGTCCTAAAACTCAGAAGGACTGCAGAGCATTCTGCAAGATTTCCATATATCAAACATTTAAAGGCACTAGGATTCTTTATTCCCAAAGAGAATAAATCATGGTTTTGTTTATTTATTGAAATAAATAAGGTGGATTAATCCAGCATCCACATCCCACTTGCCTAGACATCTGTCGAGCCCACTCTCAACCTGCCCTGTCTTCCATCTCCTTAGCCAATCATTCAATCAGCTGGTCAGATATGACTGGCCAGTCAATTGCCGGTGAGCTATTCAGGTAGCACTTTCTCTTCCTCCATTTCCTAACCAATTTGAGAAAGGGAATATAGTAAGAATGGTCACGTTTTCAACAGGCTTGGCTAAGAGGAGTGGAAGAGTGGAGAGGAGTGTAGGTCACAGGAGAGATTGTTTTTGCTTTTAATATTTGAGAGGCCAACACAAGTTTAAGATGAGGAGGTTAAATATACATGAAAGAGAAAGGATGCCTGATGGGCAAGTCCCTGAGAAGGCAGAGGGGAGGGGACTTAGAGCACAGTTAGAAGGATGAGCAGTGGACAGGCAGGAGACACACACATTCTCCGCTACCCTCATCATCACCACATATGCACAACTATAAAGGAAAATAAGAAAGAAAGGAGTCCTGAATGGGCACGTACATTTATGTAAGAGTGGAGACAGAAAGACACAAACCAACAGACCACATTGCCAAATCCAGTGTTCAATTCTCCTTTCACATCATACTTAACTCTCAGCAGCATTCACCACCACCTCCTCAAAACACTATTTTCTGGGCATTATGATATCATATTCTCATTTTCCTCTGATCTCTCACTGGCAGTTCCTTTTCAATTTTCTTGGTGTGTGTGTGTGTGTGTGTGTGTGTGTGTGTGTGTGCGTGTGTGTGTGTGTGTGTTTGTGTGTTTTGTGGTGCTGGAGATTGAACCCAGGGCCTTCTACATATAAAGCAAGCACTTTACCAACTGAGCTATATCCCCAGCCCTCAATTTCCTTGTTTTGGGTACTGAGCATTGAACTTAAGGGTGCTTTACCACTCAGCTTCATCCCTAGCCCTTTTTATTTTTTATTTATTTTAATTCTGAGACAATCTCACAAAGTCTCTAAGACTGCCTTAACTTGGGATCCCCATGCATCAGCCTCCCAAGTTGCTGATATGTACCAATACACCCTGCCCTTTTCAATTTTCCTTGCTAGCCTTTCCTCTTCACCAAAACTCTTAATGTTGAAGAGCTCCAGAGGTTGGTCCTACACTCCATTCTCTGACAACTCTCCCTGGTTCATTTCATTTAGTCCTTGGTTTTAAATACCATCTAGGGCAGAGTGCCATTATCTTTGATATCTTTCTTTTTTACTCTAAAAATGGAATTTTTAGCATCTGATCATCGAGCCAAAGACTAGCTAAGTATGGCCATGTGACTAAGTCCTGGTAAATGTGAAAAGTATTTGCAACTTATAAGTCATGCCTTTAAAGGGAAGGGCATCTTCCCCCTTTTTCTCCTTCCTAATGGTGAAAATACAGACTCTCGGGCTGGGGATGTGGCTCAAGCAGTAGCGCGCTCGCCTGGCATGCATGCGGCCCAGGTTTGATCCTCAGCACCACATAGGAACAAAGATGTTGTGTCCTCCGAAAAATTAAAAAATATTAAAAAAATTCTCTCTCTCTCTCTCTGTCTCTCTTTAAAAAAAAGAAAAAAGAAAATACAGACTCTATAGCAAGAGTTAGAGAAACGCCAGATAGAAGTCTCTGTGATAGCAGCTCAACTGATGTCCTAACTACATAACCATCCATATGCCAATGACTTCCAAATTTCTATCTCCACCCCTAATTCTCCCTGAACTATTTAGTTGCTTATGCCATCTCTGCTGTGGTTATCTAATAGACATGGGAACATAACACAGCCATTAGAGAATTCTTAATTGCATCCTCCCCCAGATCTGTTCCTCCCTCAGAACTCCCTTATCTGGAAAATATACCTCCACTGCTCAATATAAAAATCTAGGCATGACTATGGTTCCTTTCTTTTACAACCCACATCTAAGCATCAGCAAATACTATAATAAAACCCAAATCAATTCTTCTGCATCTCTAATACTACCATTTAGTCTAAGCTACTATTCTCTCTCATCTGCACAAATAGGCCCTGTCTGTCTCCCTGCTTCACCTCTTGCCCTATCACACTCCATTCTCTCCATAAGCAGACGCAGTAATCTTTCCAAAGTGCAAGCCATAGCATTCCGTTCTCTCCCTTAACTGGATTCCCATGATACTTAGAAAAAATTACAAATTTTGTAAGCCAGTACTTTGGCTTATAGAAGTCTACCCGCTTCTTTGCCTTTTGCCCACTACTTTATGGCCACACTGACGCTTCTGTTTCTCAAATACATCAAACTTGTTTCCACCTTAGGACATCACACTGGCTATTCCCGCTGCTTCTCCCTGCTCTTCACAAAGCTGACTTTGTCATTCAGGTCTCAGCTTAAGTGTCATTTCCTCAAGAGACCTTTCCTTACCAACCTAATACAGCTCATCACATTACTTTGTGTAACCGTCAGTATAACACATAGAAATCCTGATATTTTTATTTTTGTTTATAATCCATTCCCCCTCCCATGACATCTAAGTTCAGTCCTTGTTAGTCTAATTTACTAACAAATCCAGTGTCTATCACATGGCATGGCATTTTCTGAATTTGAAACAATTTTCATCTCACAGCTTCTATTTTCTCTATGAAGTGAGAAGCAAAGTAATGTTCTGGAATGAGAGATGATCTAAAGGTAAAAGAAAGATCAGCAATTATGAAGAATGGAAGAAAGAGCAGAGCTGGAACAAGTCTTACCATTAACTACAGATATATATTTACATGTAGATAGTATTAGAACTTGGACTAATGTTAAAAACAGAATCTAGCTCAGCATATTAATAATAATCCTGATACCTTAGTTATTAAGGAGCATCTTTCATAGAATTGCCATAATTTAAAGTACTAATTAAAGAGACTTCATGAGGCCCAGAAGATACAAGAGTAGTATACTATGTGTCATAGAATCATGACTATGGTATGAAAGAGTAGTACAGTATGTGTCATATACTCATGACACATCAACCACATTTTTTTAACCACATTCTCAAATACAGCCTTCAAAGATCATAATTAAGAACCACTTAACTCTAATTGATATTACAAGGACAATAAAAATATAAATAGAGCTTTAAATTTTGGTAATCATCATGTACTTTTTATAGACTATTTCCAGATTTAAGCTATTCGTCATTCACCTCATTCACTCACTTGCTCACAAATATATATGCCCAGCACCAATATAAGCATACCTTATGATAACTCACAGAAATATAGAAAGCCTAGTCAACTGAGATATAAGCAAAGGTAAACACCTGTTTCTCTTCCAATCTGACGTGTTCCTAGGTTGATCACAGGTGTTCCAAAAGCACCAACCTCTCGTACCCCACAGCTGCTATTCCCAATCATACAACCAGCATGCGCAACCAGCTGTATAAACTGGTCAAATGGGACATGTTTAACTGCACGAAAATTGGGATGATGCTCAATTCCCTTCTTCCGCATCACTCGAACCATCTCTTTGCTACCTGTGAAAATGAGAAGAACCAACTGTTAAATGGTATATGAGACAAAGAAACCATTTCCATTAGAAAGTATTCCCATCCCGCGCTTGAGGAAATCTCCATAAAAACTCATACCAGTTATTGAGAAAATAATAATATTAATCATAAGTCTTTTCAGGAATGATGAGCATCTAAAATGTCTGGCTAGCTCTCTACTTCAATTCATCCTGGAACTCAAACAGTTGGAGCTTTTGAAACAAAATTCAATGAAACAAATACTTTTATTAATGCTACAGTAAAAACCTTTACCTTAAACAATAATTAAGAGCTAAACCCAGACCTACAGTCTATGTCCCTTAATCTGAAGATCCTAAGTGGAAAGGTCTCATTTTTCACACCCCAGTGACATCCATCAGAAAACCTCTGCCCAACGCTGCTCATATTTACAGTAACAATAGCTCAGCTGGACAGCACTCCCACCTATGTGGGCTAAACTCCAAAAAAATTCAAATCGATTCTGATACCATAGTGGACATTTTTAAAACTTTTTTTTTTTTTTTTTTGCAGTGCTGAAGATTGCTTGCTTAGCACATGCAAGGCACTGAGTTCATTCTACCACTGAGCTACACCCAGCCCAATATTTTATTTAAATGCATTATTTTAAAACAATTTACAGATACTTGAGGGAAAAGCTTCTCTATCATCCTCTCCTAGACAATGGAGGGAAAATTGCTCATCTGAAGGATTAGAATGTAGGACAGTGACCACACTTTGCCTACCAGTGGGCAGGAAACACTGATTATCAGAAGCCATGCATGCCATCTCTTCTTATATTAACTTTATCTATGTAGCAAGGTAGGTCAATGGGCTCAGGGTCTCACTCTTAAGAGTGAGCCTGGCCACTTCTCTCTGCATACAGTGTTGCCAGAGCACTCCAGTCACCATCTGTAATTACCGTAGTATGTGACACACTAGAGGTACTACTATTCCAAGATTCAGACTTGGAATCAGTTAAAGGCTTATCTTTGGCCTTAGGCTTAAACCACAAGCATTAGTCCAATTTTCCAGAAAGTCCTACAATGGGCAACTGGGCACAAAACCAGATAATGATAAAAATGATTGATGCCTTCATCCTTATTTCTTTATTGTTCCCTATGAACATCTTATCAAAAATTCCATGGAGCTGGGCAAGGTGAAGCATGCCTAGAATCCCAGCAATTCAGGAGGTGAGGCAGAAGGATTGTAAATTTGATGAAGTACCACTGGGTTCAAGCCCCAGCACTAGAAAAACAAAGAAATAAAATACAACTTAGCGAGACCCTGTCTCAAAATAAAAAATAATAAAAAAATAACAAAATAATAAATAATAAAAAAGGCTGGTAGCTCAGTGGTACAATGCCCCTCGGTTTGAACCCCAATTCCAAAAAAGAAAAGAACCCCACCAAAAAAAAAAAAATTTAAAAAAGAAAAAAAATGACCCTTTAAATCATGGGGCCTTTTACAGAGGAAAAATAGCTCTATTCTAAAGTATATAAAATCAGGAAAATATATTACAAAGAGAAGATACAATTTGAGAGATACATAAACATATTATACGTGTTTATGTAGAATTTAAAGGATTAGACAAGAATCAGTATTGAATTTTTCTGAAATATTTGCATATTACCTGGACAAAATCTGGATTAAGTATTCTTATTTTTCAACTAACACTGTATTTTATTTCTTTGTTTTTGTAGTGCTGGGGATTGAACCCAGTGGTACTTCATCACTGAGGTCTTCAAGTATGCTAGTCAAGTGTTCTACCACTGAGCAACATCCCTAACCCCATTATACTTATTTTGTTTCCCCTAACAGAAAAGATTATTAAAGGGTCATTAAGAGAAAGTTCTTTCAGAGCAAGATGATGATATTTTGGTATTGCAAATAAAGGGTCCTGACCTTTATTTTTACTTTTTGGTACTGTGAATTGAACACAAGGGGACTTGACCACTGAGTTGCATTCCCAGTCCTTTTATTATTTTGAAACAGAGTCTTACTAAGTTGCTTAGGGCCTTGCTAAGTTATTGAGGGTGGTCTTGAACTTGAAATCTTCCTGCCTCAGCCTCCCAAGTTGCTTTGCTGGGATTACAGGCATGTGCCACTATGCCTGGCTGGGTCCTGCTTCCTTTACAAAAAAAAGCATAAAAGCAAAGCAATTTGAGTATTGTCAGCTAACAATAGCAAGTATTTGAAAATTCCGTCAGTGTAGGGGTCTGCTGGGGTACTTCTCCTTTATATCTCATATGCCCAGCTAACTTGCCTCACTAGCACTAAAAGTTCATAGTACCATCCATCATCAGGTGGTTACCGAGGGCAGGCTTAAGCATCAACTGGTTAAGAATTCCAGATCTAAACTGCTTAAGCTCAAAATTACTTTAAGGTATACCAAACATAAGTAAGAAAGAAAACAAGAAAGAGTAATAATAGAAATTTTACTACAGTCAGTGGAATCATTACTTTCCTTTTCTAATATTTATGCCTCAAATCTATAAGAGACTATCAATTATAAGAATTTCTCATTGGTTGAAACTAGAGGAAAGAAATTCACCATAAGAGTAAGGTGGACATTAGATTTTTTTTTCTTAAGAATTTACTTCTTTCTTATTAAATTTCTACCAGACTTGATAAAAAAAAAATCACAACTTTGATCTATAACAAAATAGGTAATTCTCTGAAAAGTGAAATATACTTCAGCCTAGATGGCCTTCAATGATAAGATGGGTGAGTAGGAAGACATTCATTAGAAGAGGTAACAGAAACAAAATTTGAAAATGTAGGTGGCATGATTTCATTTTCAAGTTCAATTACCTGCATCAATATTTGGAAACAGTACTAGGGTCCGCTTGTTAAATGAGATAAGTGCATCCAATGTTAATTCAAACATTTTAATGGAATGCTTAATGTCAGTGGTCACAGGGTGCTGTAGTGCAACAATGTAATCCTTACACTTTACATCATCACCTGTTTAAAGAAAATCAAACCACATTGCTTCATTAGTTAAGCAACTTAAGAGAAGCAGCAAATTCTAAAAAGTAAGACTTTAAAGTCTGCTTTTAAAAATTCTAAGGTCAAAACTGTTTGTCACATTCTAAGCAGGTCATCCATATTGGGATCAATGATAAGAACTAAATAGCAACAAGGAACCATCAAACTTAACATTTTACAGATTCTTGCTACCACAAATATAAAATATATGTGTAAATAGCAGGAACAATAAATTCACTGTTGTAAAATCCAAAATATTCCAAAGCCCTAAACAATGTGAATATTCCCAATTTCTAACTAATGTTTCTAATCAATAATCAGCATTGCTAATTAATAACGGTGTGTTGTAAATCAGGGTACTCAGAAGTTGAATGATCATTAAGAATATTTGACAATGCCTAGGTGTTCCCCAAACCATCACTCACCAGATTCAACAAGTGCCAAGTGTTCTAATTCTGCTGAAAGGACTGGAAAGGCTTCATTCATCATTAGTGTGGGATACCAAGGCTTTCCTCAGCAAGCATTTAAAATGTAAAAGGCTTAAGTTGATAGTGCCATGCCATACAACATACAACGTTTATCACAGGGCCTGTATTATCCCATAAAACTGAAAATGAGCTCCACTAACTTATTTTTATGATTTAATGATAAAAGATTATACATGTTGAGAAAATAATAATATTATTATTATGTTAGAATCTTTAGTAGTATTTGATTTAAAATAGTATATTAGCTCCCAATTTTTATTTTGAGAACTTATTGGTCCTATATTAGCTTTTAAATTGTGAGGAGGAAGAAAAATAATGGTTATTATTATTATTTATTTTAGTAAGAAAAAGTACTAAAGGCCTAAAAGAATCTACTGGAAACTTTATAAACACAACATTTTAAAGATCAGAGGAAAGCTGGGTGTGCTGTACACCTATAGTCCAAGCTACTCATGAGGCTGAAGCAGGAGGATTTCTCAAGCCTAGAAGTCCAAGACCAGCCTGAGTATCACAAGGAGCCTTGGTCTCAAAAAAAAAAAAAACATAATGAAAACAGCCTCTTATAGCTTACATTACAGTTAACACAAGTCTCAAAACAATTTCAAAGATGCTTAATGTCAGTGTCACAGGGTGATTGCTGTAAAACATTAAAAACATGGGAAAAGGAGTGGCAATAGAAGAAGTGTGTTCACCATAAGGAATGTGGAAATACTACATATTGCTGCAATCCAACCACAGGATTAGTCTGTACCACTATAAGGCATGTTTCCATAATGTAAATTAACTCATCCATGCCCAATAGAGGGAAGATGTTAGCCTTTAATGTAGTAATTGAGTTATATATACATGATTCTTCATGGAAAAATTCAAAGAACACTAATGGAAACAGGCAACAGCTATGGAGGAACACAGTCCCATCACAAGGGCCCTTCACCCCTCATTTTTCACGTTGGTTGTTTGCTCATATACTCTGTCTTGAAAATACAGAGGTGGGGGCTGGGGCTGCAGCTCAATGGTAAAGCATCTGCCTCGCATGTGTGAGGCCCTGGGTTTGATCCTCAGCACCACATAAAAATAAAAGAAAGAAAGATATTTTAAAAAAAGAAAACACAGAGGGCAAGTCTCTGATTCTTGGGCTTTTGGGGGCAAATTTTCTTTGAAAGCGAGAAGGTTAGGGTGCTTCTGTAGTCCAGTGCAGGATTGTTTTACACAATTTATTGCTACAATTTACTACCAAGGACCAAGCAGAAAATCAAGAAGAAAAATGTTGGCAGTCTGCTTCCAAAGAGCTTTCCACTTTTCTTTTTGTGTGGGGAGTGGGTACAGGGCAGTACTGGGGATTGAACCCAGGGCTTTGCACATGCTAGGCAAAAACTGAGCTACATCCCCAGCCCTTTTATTTTATTTTGAGACCGGGTGTAAGTTGCCCAGTCTGGCCTAGAACTTGGGATCTTCCTGCTTCTTTTTTTTTTTAAATTTTTTAATATTTATTTTTTAGTTTTCGGTGGACACAACATCTTGTTGGCATGTGGTGCTGAGGATCGAACCCGGGCCGCACGCATGCCAGACAAGCGCGCTACCGCTTGATCCACATCCCCAGCCCCGTTCCTGCTTCTTTAGCCTCCTGAATAACTTGGATTATAAGCATGTGCCACCACACCCAGTATATCATATTTCACCATATAATCGTTGCCACATTAACATATATTCATAAGTATTCTTTGCCTCCTAATCTTGCACCAGAGTCAGTTTAGTAATAAATGAATTTAGTGTGTGTGTGTGTGTGTGTGTGTGTGTGTGTGTGTGTGTGTGTGTGTGTGTTGGGGATGTCAGGCAAGCATTTTATCACTAAGCCACATCCCCAGCCCATAATAAATGTTTTCTAAGTAATAATGGCACAATTTTTTAAAAAGAAAACACTTCACATAATGACTCTATCCCATTTTTTGGAAAGAAAAAAAAACTTGGCATAAAATCTGTAGTAATTATGAAGTGAAATACAATATCCTTCTCATTTATCTTCTACTTTAAGTGTAAGAAACATTTGTAGTGCATAGAAAATAACTGTACAACACAGGTGCAGTGAGACTGCATTTTGCATTTTAAGGTTTTATATAGAGCCACTTAAGCAGTTTCTTTTGAAAGATTGGCAAAACAGCAAAAACTAGATGTCTTTTTTTAAACCTGTGAGAAAGAAAACAAGACACTGAGTCAGAGCTATTTATTCCTGGCAGTGATACATCTTGTGCAAAGCTGGCACCAGTGTCTCAACCTGCAACCATTTGTGTCTGAATTCAGCAGCCTCAGCCCTTCCATACGTTTTCTATTAAGGTACTATGATTTTGTTTTACATTGTAAGTCCTGAATTTACCATGATGTGTCTTTTGTTACTAGGACATTGTTTTCTTTTTCTTTTTTTTTTTTTTCTTTTTTTGGTACTGGGGATCAAACCCAGGACCTTGCACATGCCAGTCAAGCACTTTACAACTAAGCTACATCCCCAGCCCTTGTTACTAGGAATTTAATGTCTATTTAACTGTACTAATTTTCTTTCTTTTCTCTCTCTCTCTTTTTTTAATTGGACCCAGGAATCAAACCTAGGGCCTCAAGCATGCTAAATATAAACTCCACCATTGAGCTACACTCCCAAGACTTTTGCTAATGTTTTTATTAGGATTGTTACATATACTATTGGTCTGGTTACACACAGCATAAATGGTCTACCCAACCTTATTTTCCTATAAGCAGAGTAATAACATAAAAAGTTGCTTGTAAAGGGGCTGGGGTTGTGGCTCAGTGGTAAAGCACTTGCCTAACACGTGAGAGGCACTGGGTTCAATCTTCAGCACCACATAAAAATAAATAAATAAATAAAGTTGCTTGTCAAAAAGCAGGTGCACGCTTTATAAAATGTGTTATTACTAAGGGTGGATGACTCCGGCTCTTTATCCTGTATTTTCTTTTTCACTGGTTTAAAAAACAAAGCTATAACTAGTTTCAAGCTGGACCTATAACCATTATCACTTAAGATATTAGTAAAACAAATACATAACTTTGTCAAAGTTAACTTACAGGTTAAGGTGCTATATATATTTATGGCATACCCCCTTTAGCTAGGATTGCAAGGTTCAACAGCACCCATTAGAGAAAAATTACTTCACTTCCATGACCATATCCTGATAAATGCTATTTTGTCATCTTTCTTTTCATAAAGAACTACTTAAATGGTCCCAAATAAGACTTTAAATCTTATAAGTGCAATTCTTGCTGCATTCTACTTTCTAGTGGTTATTTTCTACTCTAGAATTTTTCAGTAACACAAGGTTTCCCAGAATATATAGAGCTCAAAGTATGATTAGAACAGAGTGCAAGAGGGTTCACTTAGAAGCATATGAAAAGGAGAGTGAAGAGACAGATGTTTGTTCTATCCCCAATATCTAGGCAGGTTCTTTGATAGCTATAAATCTGTCCAAGGATAAGAAATATATAGAAGGGACTAATTTATCTAGTGAGAAAGCCCAATTCCATTCCCAATCTAATGTGATCTGGATAAAAATACACCAAATTTCTTTGATTACATAATCACCAAATCAATTACCTATTCATTATTTCATTATTCAGTAGATTTACCTTTTAGAAAAGGGAAGATCCAAAATAAATGATTAGTCCTGATTCTTACATGGCATTCCCACTATAAATTAACTAGTTAATATTCTGTTCTTAAGTTTGTTTTCTTTACCTCTGATTAGAAAAGGTAATTTCCAGGAAGCCAGATTATTGATAATTGAAAATTTATCACTTTAAGGCTTTGTTTTACAAAGATAACAAACTCTGATGTTATAACTATGACTTTTGCTTTTTAATAATAATCATCAAAATCCCTTATATTAATAAGTACCTCTGGTTTGCTATCTGCTTTGAACATTTATTATCTCACCTGAGTATTCCAATAATACTGTTAGAAAAGCATTAAAAGTAAAAATAACAATTTTTTTCGTTGTACTAAAAAATGCAGAAAATAAAAACTTCCATATTCCCACACTAGAAATGACCTGGTGTACACACTTCCTAGCCTTTCTATTTTTATAGCTTTTCTAAAAATGGCATCATATTCACATGTAGTTTTGTAGTTTGATTTTTCCTCTTTTTGATATAATAGAAATTGTCCTGGTAACTAAATATTCACCCACATTATATATAACAAAATAAAAGCATTTCATTGTATAAATACAGCATATATATTTTTTAAAAGCTCAATCCAATAAGCCTATTTTACAGAAAAGGTGAATCTCAAAGGTAAAGTCAGACCATAGGGCAAGATCTGTGAACTAAAGCCTTAGCTTTCTGATTGCTAATGAAATAGTTTAACCATGAGTTACCAAAAGAACTGAAACATACCCAATGCTTTCTGACAAAAAAAAAACAGCCATTAGGCTAAGTAAAGGCTGCCATACTTACCTAACCACATCCGAATAATGCTCATATAGTCTTTGTTCTTGGCTGAGAGAAGTTTGTCATAGGAAGGGCAGCCTGCCAGAAGGATGCGATCATGGTCCTCACACATGGATATCAGATGTTGCTCTGCACTTCGGGTGCAACACACATGATAATGAGCCAGTTTTGTTATGGCATGTCTGATAGAGTCATCAATAGTTCCACTGACTTCCCCTCCTTCAATATGAAGGATTCGGATGTTCATCAAGGCAGCAGATGTAGCCAGAGCCAAGGCATCAAACCTGTCACCATGAACAATCATGATATCAGGCTTCAAGCGATTAAGGACATCTGGTAGCTTCACAAGGGCCAGGCCTACTGACTCCACCATGGCTGCTTCATCTTCCCCCCTAACGATCGTATGTAGCCTGGTGTTAATGTCAAAGTCATCTTGCTCAATCATGCGATAAGTGTTTCTAAAGCAGGAGAGAAAAAAAGATGTGACACCATGTTCTTAATATACAAGAAAAACAATCTAACACTAACCCTGATGGGAGAAACATGTTCACATTTTTACTTATTTTAAAAATAAATAAATAAATTGAAGCATAACTTATACACAAAATTAAGAGTAAATTCCTCAAATGTACTTAAAGCTTGATCAGTTTTGTTACATGAACACCCCTGTGGCCACCACCCAGATTGAGATAAAAACATGCAGCCACCGAGTGTGGTGGTGCTTGCCTATAATCCTAGCAGTTTGGGAGGCCAAGGCAGAAGGATCACAAGTTCAAAGCCAGCCTCAGCAATTTAGCAAGACTCTGTGGCAAGATAAAATGTACAAAGAGTTAGGGATGTGGCTCAGTGGTTAAGTGCCCCTGGGTTCAATTGCTGATAAAAAAAAAAAAAAAACCCACATGCCGCACCTTGGAAGGCTCACTTGTGACCCTACGAGTCAATACCTGGGGGGAGAAACATCTGAGAGAGATTTTTCTTCTATCAATTTTTAAAAAGAAATATGTAAAAATTTACTTTTTTAATATTTATTTTTTAGTTTTAGGTGAATACAATATCTTTATTTTAGTTTTATGTGGTCCTGAGGATCGAACCCAGTGCCTCACTCATGCTAGGCGAGCGCTCTATCTCTGAGCCACAACTCCAGCCCTAAAGTATGTACTTTAATAGGAAAAATATTACTTATAAAAATGAAGTTCATTATTTCTACCAAAAAATAGGGTGGGGCGGGGGATGGGAATGCCTGACATGTCACTGCACTATAAATTTCTGAGTGATGGGAATTATCTTTTGAATTCTCTTTGAATGGTACCATTAATGCTGGCATAATTCTGCTTGGAATGAAAATGTAACTTTATAGAATTAAAGTGACTATGAAATGCAGTTTCCAGACTGCTTCATGCTTTAATAACAGCAGCTCTCAATTTCTTAAAAATTCCCAGTTATGACTAAATTGTCAAAGATATGACTTTTTTTTCTAAATACAGAACACACATTTATATTTTAAAATTAGGAAACAGAAATTTTTATCCACAACCTACTACTCAGCAACAACAAATATAATCTTTCTAGCCATTTTATGCAAGTATTTTAACATGGCTGAGAACACATTGTACATATAATTTTATAATTTCATAATCTACCTAATCCATTTCATATTTTGTTGGATAATTAAGGATTCTATTTTTTATTTTTTAGGCAGGGGATAGGGATCAGCCCCAGGAGTACTCTACCACTGAGTTCCATCCCCAGCCCTTTTTATTTTTTATTTTGAGATAGGGTCTTGCTAAATTCCTGAGGATCTCGCCAGCAACTGGTGAGACTGGCCTCAAACTTGAGATTTTCCTGCCTTAGCCTCCTGAGTTGCTGAGATTACAGGTAAGTGCCACTGAGCCCAGCCTAAGAATTCCTTACATACATCATACAGATGTAGTTATCATTTTGCAGACTCCTTTGGATTTTCCACAAGCAATCATATGTGCAAATAATGACAGTCATTATCTCTTTGTTTTTACTTCTTACTTTATCACACTGGCGGTTTCATATCCAGTATAAGTTGAAGAGAAGTGAGAACAGTGAAAATCCTTACCTTGTTCCCAATCTTAGAGAGAAAGCACAAATTTTGTTAGCTGTCAGTTTTTCATAGACAGCTTTTATAAGATTGAAGTTTCCCTTCTATTCCAAGGTTCCAAGAGTTTTTTTTATCATAACTGGTTGTTATTTAATTTTGTCAAATGCTTTCTTTCGGCGGGGAGAGGGTACAGGGGATTAAACTCAGGGGTACTCTTTCAAAGCTACATCCCCAGCCCTATTTTGTATTTTATTTAAGAGACAGTCTCGCTGAGTTGCTTAGCGCCTTACTTTTTGCTGAGGCTGGCTTTGAACTTGTGATCCTCTTGCCTCAGACTCTGGAGTCACTGGAATTACAAGTGCGTGCCACCACCCAGCATCAAATGCTTTCTTGACATCTACTGAAATGATCATATAGGTTTTTTCCTTTTATTCTATTAATGTGTTAGTTACAATGTTTTTCAAATATTAAGTTGGTCTTGAATTCTTAAGATAAGCCACTTGGTCTTAATACATTATCTGGTTTTTATACACAGTTATCTGAGGTGCTGGATGTGATCTGCTATTTTGTTTATACTTTTATGTTTACATTCCTGAGGAATACTAGACTGAATTTTATTATGTCTTTGTCATGTTTTGTCGTCAGTATTATCTGACCTTATAACAGAAGTTAGGAAGGCTCCCTGTTTTTATATTTCTTTAAGGTGTTATTTCTCTCTTAAATTTTGATAGGATTAATAAATGAATCATCTTTCTGGGAAAATTTTTATGGAAAATATTTGATAATGAATTCAATTTCTATAATAGATATTGTGCTATTAAGATTTTTCTTTTAAAAAAATATTTATTTATTTTTTTAGTTGTAGTTGGACACAATATCTTTATTTATTTATTTATTTTTATCTGGTGCTGAGGATCAAACTCAGGGTCTTGTACATGCTAGGCGAGCTCTCTACTGCTGAGCCACAACCCAGTCTCAGATTTTTCTATTTCTTTAAGTAGGGGTTTTGGTAAGCAGTGGTTTTTCAAGGAATTTGTCCATTTCATCTAAATTGTTCAGTTATTGGTATAATAGTCCCCTTTTCTTCTTCTTAATGTTTGTGATGATATTTTTATTCTATACTGATAAATTTATATTTTCTTACTTTTTCCCTCATGTATTGCTAGAAGTCAACTTTTTAATATTTTTAAAGAATTAACTTTTTGTTCTTTTAAATTTCTCTATTGTTTATTTTTATATTCCACTGATTTCCATTCTTTGTTTCCTTCTATTATGGGTTTAATTTTCTCATCTTTTTTCTTGTTTACTAAAGTAGAAATACAGATCATTGACTCTAAACTTCTATTTAAATATAAGCTTTTAAAGCAATAAATTTTCCATGTTTGTGCAGTTCAGTGGTCAAACAAGAATTTGTAAAGAATGTAAGTACAGATTCTGGGGCTTCTCCCTTGTGGTTTTTCATTTCTAGAATCATTCCCTCAAGAAAAGTTCCATTTTCTAGTACCTCAGCCTAAATAACAGAGGCTTTCTATTTGAGTTCTAGCCACCTACCACCCTGTGGCTTGGGAAATATGCTCAGGGGAAAACTTATTGAAACATGTATCTCACCTACTATAGTACAGATCCCTTCTTTTAGGCATTCTATCTCCTGTAGTTTCTGCCTGCTGATTATTGCTCTCCAGTGCCTTCAAATACTTTTAAATATTTTCCCAGAGTTAAAAGTAAGCCGTAGGAGAGTTAGTCAGATATAAGCTTCTCTGCCATTACTAGAACTTCTTTTTCTTAAATAGGTATTTTAACATTTGAGTTGGATATTTATCCATTTCCTCTTAATTTTCCACCAGTAATAAAAGCACCTAAGACAATAAATTTTTTTTCTTATTACAAGTTTTCCTTTCTTATTTTATCTCCTCTATTATTTTGTTATTTCATTTTTATTAATTATTTATATCTCATTCTTCTCCCCCACCAGAATGAAAGTTCTTTGAGAACAGGGATATTGTCTCATTAGCCATTTGGCACATCCTGGATGTTTAATAAAAAATTGTTGAATGAACAAATGAATTTCTGAACATTCTGTTGTTACTCATTTGCTTTCCTTTTTCACCCACTTCTTCAGGGCATAAAAATGCTGATTTTTTTAAGTTGTTGATGGACCTTTAATTTATTATTGATTTATTTATATGCAGTACTGAGAATCAAACCCAGTGCCTCACACATGCTAGGCAAACATTCTACCCCTGAGCCACAATCTCAGCCCCAAAATGCTGATATTTTTAAAATGTCCCAAGTACAGATGCACCTTAGTTTACAATGAGATTTAACCTGGATAACCCCATTGTAAATTGAAAATATCACAAGTTGAACATGAACTTAAAGCCAGGCATGATGGCACATACTTGTAATTTCAGCAACTTGGGAGGCTGAGGCAGGAGGATCATGAGTTCTAGGCCAGCATCAGCAATTTAGCAAGGCCCTAAGCAACTTAGCAAGACCCTGTCTCAAAATAAATACAAAAGGGCTGGAAATGTGCTCAGTGGTAAAGTGCCCTTGGGTTCACAGTACCAAAAGAAAATTCACTTAATAAACCTACTCTAGCAAACATCACAGCTTAGAAACACAGTACACTACAGAATATCAATGGTTTATTCTTTGGATTTCAAGGCTAAATGGGAGCCTGGGCTTGCTCTTGCTGCCAAGCATTCTGAAATTTTCAGAGTACCATACTGCATATCACTACCCCTGGAAAAGATCAAAATTCAAAATTTGAAGTACAGTCTCTACTGATGCCTACTGCTTCAAACTCAACCATCACAAAGTCAAAAAACTATAAGTCAAAAAATCATACATCTGGGACAGTCTGTAGTTGAAATAGAAGGTAGCTTATTTATCCTGTTATTTTAATATCTTCTTAAAATAAATAGTACAAGCCAGGCAGGGTGGCATACAACCATAGTCCCAGCTACTCAAGAGGCTTAGACAGGAAGATTGCTTGATCCCAGGGCAACCTAGGCAACATGGAAAGGAAAGGGAAAGGAAAATACATTCACTTGGTTTAAAGTTCAAAAGTACAAAAGGTTATATAGTGAAAAATCTTTCACTTTTGTCTCTCAGTCACCCAATTCCTCTACTAAGAGGCAACGAATTTCTTGAGTTAGAAGGTACTTTAACTTTTTAGCAGGCATAGTGCCACACACCTATAATCCCAGAGACTTGGGAGGCTGAGGCAGAAGGATTGCAAATTTAAGGCCAGCCTTGGCAACTTAGAGAGACCTTGTCTTAAAATAAAAGAAAACAGGGCTGAGGATGTAGCTCAGTTGCCAAACACCTCTGGTTTCAATAAAAAAAGTTATTATAAACTTAAATTTTTATTAAGTACTAGTAAAATTTCCTTTTTAATAGTCTTACCAGACAAATACTACCTTTCCACCTTAATTTATATGGTAGGAGATAAAAAACCTACTACATCCCAGCAGCTCAGGAGGCTGAAGCAAGAGGACCACCAGTTCAAACCCAGCCTCAGCAATTTAGCGAGACACTGTCTCTAAATAAAATACTAAAAAGGGGCTGGGGATGTGGCTTAGTGGTTAAGTGCCTCTGGATTCAATACTTAGTACCAAGAATAAAAAATAATAAAAAAAGAAACCCAATTATAGTTTTCTTATGAGCCTCTCTTCCATTAGTCTTCCTGTCAAAACTTCACTATAGGGCTGGAGCTATAGCTCGGTTGGTAAAATGCTTGCCTTGCATGCATAAGGCCCTGGGTTCAATCCCCAGCACCACAAAAACTTTCACTATAGAAGCAAAAGAACCCACTCAAACTTTGATTTCTAGCTCTAAAATTTCTCTTCTATCTTGTCCTATTCACCCAAGTAGATTTTCTTAGGTAGACAGAATTCATTTCATATTTTTAAAAAATTTATGGAACCCTGAGCTAACCATAAGTTTCTTCTCTACTCTTTAAATATTTTCTTAGAACAAACTGCTAAATTAGTTTTTGAAGGCAGGTTTCCTATTTATTTATTTTGCTAGTGTTGTCTTATTTTTAAAGAGTCTCAGAAAAGGACACTTTTACTTTAACACACAATCTACTTTAATATATAATAATGCATTGTTGACCATCTTTGAAGACTGCATGAACATTTTCATGCCACAAGGGTGCACTAAATGCCACTTTATTACATATAGTTAAATAAATGTTTATTTCTGGTTTATATATTCTACTCCCTCAAAGACTACTCAATCTTCATTTTGCAAATATATCCCATGTGTTCACTACAAACCTAATGCCACTAAAATAAATATCAATGGTCATAATATTATAACATTCTACTTTACCTCAAATCAATTAGATTTTTTAAAAATGTTGTTCTGTATATATTACTTCATTTGCTGTTGAAGAAAGGAAAGGGAAAGGAAAATACATTCACTTGGTGAATGTATTTTCTATAAACCAGTTTTAAAGAACTGCCATTAGAACTCAAAACACAGGTTGGGGATGTAGCTCAATGGTAGTGTGTGCGCCCAGCATTCATTAGACCCTGGGTTCGATCCAAAAAGCACCCCTTTCCCCCCAAAAAAAGACCTTACAAAATAGATTATATGGAATCATATTATTATAGTCACATAATATACATTTACAAGTGGCATTTCTCCTGAATATAATAATAAATAGTAATATTATTTATAGTGATTATTTATCAAGTATCTAATAAGCAACATCATTGTGATGGATGATTTAAATCATTCTCTGTTACAATAAATTACAACATAGGTTTTCACTCTGTTTCACAATTGAAGAAACTGAGTTTCAAAGATACTAAGCAACTTCTCAAAGACTACATAAAAACTATGTGATAGAACTGAGATTTGAAGCTAGATCCATATGGCTACAAAATATCCAAACTCTCTGGCATATACCCTTGCAATGAAGAATAAGAAAACACTTTGAGCTTACCCATAGTCATCTATCAGGTGAGAGCCAAGTACCACCACATCAAGTTCAAAGAACTCAGGCTCTGTTTTAATGCCAAACATGATCGGGGCAAGTTTAGAATAATCAGCACGGTTGCAAGTAGCAACACAAACCCGAAGCTTTCGGTTATTCCCATTCTTCTCCATGACTTGTTTTTTTTGTTTGGAGAGTTTCTTAAAATAGAGTTCCTGAGGTTTCAAAAATAAAAATTGTTTGTTATCAGAATAATTCATGGATATAAAAATAGATCTTTTCAGTATTACATCCTACCACTTAATGTAGTGATTCTTAATCTATTTTTTCCATCCCCACTGCTGTGTGACACTGAAGAAATTTCAGCAGACTAACTCTAACTCAAACCCTTTCTCTCATAGTCAAGAAAACACTCTGGAATGCAATTAAGAGTGACATAACTCAATTTTCATTTAAAAGGAGGTGTCAGCTCTTTAATTTTTATTAGTTAAGAATTACTTGCCATAACTCACAACTGCACCCAATATGCCACACTGTTGGAAAACTTTGGGAGAGAACTGTTGATAGTTTAACTTCCTCGCTTTATAGAAAGGGAAACACAAGTCTTAAGAGGGGAAATTACTCAAGATTCAAGATCACATCTTCCAAGGTACATAATCTACTCAGCCTCATACTATACACTATCTTAAATATAAGGACTGTGATTAGTGCTGGGGAAGAGAAAGATAAGTAATATAAAAACCTTATCTTTAACACATCATTAATCCCTACACACCAGTACCTACAAAACTGCCAATCTCACATGGCTACCAGGTGTCTCCAGCTATACATCCCATAGGCATATTAAAATCAATATCCCAGGCTGGAGATAGTAGCTCAATGGTAGAAAACCTGCCTAGCACATGTGAGATCCTGGGTTCAATCCTCAGTTCCACAATAAAACAAAACAAATGTAAGTCAATGTCCCAATCTGAATTCATTTCTTTCCTAAGCCTGTTCCTTCTTAATTGTTCTCTCAGCGTGCACATGATTTATCAAATGTCTTATGTCCCTATCCTCTCTGTTCCTCATATCCTCACTTTCTGTTCCATTACCTCCTAAGCTCTGTCAATTCACCTCCTAAATATCTTCCAAATCTTCTCTTCTTCCCCACCAGGACTTCCCATAGTTCAATTCCTCACCTTGGGCCTTTAGTTTGTAAATCAGATAGTAGGCTAACCAGGGTAGATTGCTATGGGACAAAATCCAAATTGCTGATCCAAATCTAATCCATCTTTTTAGACCATTTCTCCACTACACACAATTATCCCTTACTCTGTGCCAAAGAAGCAGCCACACCAAACTGCCTACAGTTCAGCTAATGGATCTCTGTGCCTTTTTAGGTACAAATACCTCTACCTAAAACTTGCTTTCCCTCTTGTTTGGACTCCTACTTATCTTTCAAAACTTAGCCTGAACCAGGCACAGTGGTGCACATCTATAATCCTAGTGACTTTGGAGGTTGCAGCAGGAGGATTTCAAGTTCAAGGCCAATCTTATGAACTCAGCAAGACCTTGTCTCAGAAGAAAAAAAAATGTATACACACACACACACACATACATACATATTTTTTTTTCTTTCTTTCTTACGAAGGCTCAGTGATAAAATAACTCTGGGTTCAATCCCCAATACTGGAAAACAAAAAGAAAAACTCAGGCCAGATGTGGTAGAATTAGTTTTTACTGGGATTTAGCACACCCTATAATCTCAGTGGCTAGGAAGGCTGAGGATGAGGATCAAGAGTTCAAAGCCAGTCTCAACAACTTAATGAGGCCCTAAGCAACTCTGAAAGACCCTGTCTCTAAATAAAATTAAAAAAGGGCTGGGGATGTGGCTCAGTGGTTAAGTGCCCCTGGGTTCAATCCCAGTACCAAAAAAAAGAAAAGAAAGAACTCAGGCTGAGTGTCACCTCTTCTCTAAAGGTTTCCCATAAGCCTCAGGTCTTCCTCACCCAGCTATTAGTTGCTTACCTCCCTATGAGCACATTAGCCCTACCATACACAAATATACTATTGTTCAACTTGTCTTCCTACCTATCCTCCTTAAACCATCACACCCTCCATTCAAAAGTAAGGCAGGAAGTAAGAAATTTTATGGAACCTTTTAAACTGCTCTGCATGATGTAAAATTATACCTTATGGACTCCAACCTCAATGCTTAGGTTTCAGGAAGTACATCAATATTTAGAATTTGTAACCAATCCAGGGAACTTGACTAAGGGTGTCAACACAAGGGGTGCTGCCCTCTGAAATTCACTGGAAATCCTATCAGCAGCCCTCTATTATTGGTACTTCATCTTTTAGGGATGCAAATTGCCCCATCATTAGGCCCTTTCTGAATTAACAATCCCCAGTAAAAACTAATTTCACCCAAAAGATAACACTTGTAAGATAATGAGCATTCTGCCAAGAGTATTCAGAAGACCTAAGCACTATTTAATCATTAAAAATACAAAAATATTCTTCCACAATGGCTGTCTTGAGTGTTCTTGTACATAGTCTTTCTTCCACTAATCAATTTGAGCTGAATAAACTTTTGGTGATATTAAATTTGCCAGGTAAGGCAAAGTAAATCATTCATAGTTGGTCAATTTCTACTTACTTTACAAGAACAGTAAACTTTCCACCTGGCAGTGCAAAGTATTTACCAAGTTACCTAACAGTTATTCTACCTGAACTGAGTAAACCAGTCATGTAAATAAAATGTGAAATATTGAACAAGGTTTTTTTTTTTTTTTT